CCCTACTGTTTAAAAGAAAATGGGTTTTTTTAAGGGGGAGTATCAGTTACATCAGACCATCTCGTTTTGATTCTTTCTAGATTGTACAACATGCTATTTTTACTGAGGCTACTGGTTCCATTGAAATCAGTGGGCCCATGATGACATTCATTTAAGAGACTGCAGAACTAACATTTTCATCACTCCTCCAAACAGTAGATGATACTGACTACATTTTTTTAAAAAAAAAAAAGAATTGCTTTTAACTTTCTTTATTATTATTTTCCAGTTTGGTCAGAGAGAAAAGGAAAGTGAGAAAGCAAGCCACCAAATCGAGGCTTTGAACCACGGTTGGCCATGTAGGAGTCCAGCACCTTTAACCACCATGCCACTTGCCAGCCCCTTGTTTGTTTGGTAACTGAACATCCCTTAAGGCCCAAAGCTCCATAGTATAAGTCAGCACCAAATACCAAACGGTCACTTTGCTTCTGGCAGCAGACCCAAAACAGAGAATCTTCTCCAAATCGAGCACAGAAAAAAATGAAAGCAGGAGTTTGGATTTGCCCAGCAATAGTTAGGAATTCTGGTGAGCCATGGAGGCAGGAAGCTTCTGCTCTCCCTCCCGCGAGTCCCGATAGAACAACATCTCTCAGCACGTGAAGGCAAAGAAAGAAGTGTGGCTTCTGTGACTTCTGCAGTGAAAGCTAGGGAAACTCTGCGGCGGAGTAACTAAAACCCTGTAGTAAACGAGAACCTCAGTTTAACAAGGTTAGCTTTGGAGTGGAATTCAGTCAAAGGCAGAGCCTTGTCCAATCGACTCAAGCAGTTTTGGTTACTGAAAAGGTGTGTTCACACACACACACACACACACACGCACACGCACACGCACACGTAGACATCCTAAACCTGGAAATCAACATTCTGATGAGACCCAGTATAAGGAGATATGGTCATTTTTTTAGGTATGTCTCTGATGCAAACTGGCAAGAATAAGACAGGATTTTTTAAAATGCCACCAAGTTCTCCCTGCAGTCTGCACACCCAGATGATGGTCCTATATAAATTGCCACCATCTACATTTAGCATGCATGGCAAAAAAAACTGGGTCACAGTTCAGCAAAACTGTGCGCCCACTCTAAACCCAAAAGGATACGGATAATACTCTAACACCAACTCAAGAAGAAGTTTCTGCTTTTCTTCCTGATCTAAACATGTGCTTCTGTGGGGCATGAGTAAAGCTACTTGCGGTTGGATCAGCTGGGAAATCACAGAAGCATATAAACGGCATTGACTATTTTAAGTGAAACCATTTTAATAGACAGCTGGTTTAGGACCCAGACAATGGAACACCAAGAAGAGGGCTTATTTCCCTCCTCCATAGTAAATCATGCGTCTGCTCACTGTGAAGAAGGTAGGCTGCTGTGAGGGTGACAAGGACAACAGTGGTTAAAATAAATCAATGTGTTTATCAGAAGTGAGGATGGGAGGCTGGTGGTACAGATGAGGAGAAGAGTGAAAGTATGAAAAATATAGTATTTAAATAAATCAGTTGATGGAGATCCAAGTTGAGATTAACCTAAGAAACAAAAAAATATATATAATGTCAAGTAGACAATGATGTTTAAATTAATCCTGCAAATGGCAAATAGATCCCTTAAGGTAGAAGAAATGCCTGTACAGAAAGCAAAGGAAAATACTAAAGAGCACTAACTTCATCTTCACTTTAAAAATCTAGTGAAATTGATATACGAGTTGTCAAAACTGCACATATTTGGAACAGATTTATTTTTTGATAGTCTACCTTTTTGAAATGTTCTCCTCTAACAAGCAGAGAGAAAAATAATATATTTTCTCAATAATATATATTTTTAAATCCTCATTCAATTTCTGATTGAGGCTTTTTTTTTTCTAGAATGACCTTTTATAATTAACTTAAAAAAAAGAGGAAACATGGGACTTGTTCAATTTTCACATCCTTATGCAACAACAGTGCTGGAATTTTA